CACAAAATACAATTTGAAGTGTAAAAACTTTTGAAAGCCACAGCTTTGAAGGGACAGTGGAGTCATGGTTTCGAAGTACTGTCCTGTCTTCCAGAGCTTTGTGGACTTCAAAAGTCACGGAACCCCACTGGGTCTGAGGGACTGGGAGCACCAAGTGTGTATCGTCTCTATTCTCCTGGGAAAATTCGTGGAGCCAAAGACCAAAGTTCTGGCCCTTCAGTTGCTAGTGGGCACTTAGTACTGGGTCTCCATTGAGTGGAGGAGGGCAACTCCTAGCTCCTTTCTAGAGAAATGAAAAGGCTGTTCCTTGTATGCACACGTGTGTGTGTGTGTGTGTGTGTGTGTGTGTGTGTGTGTGTGTGTGTGAGAGAGAGAGAGAGAGAGAGAGAGAGAGAGAGAGAGAGGTGTAGGTCAGAGGTCAACCTTTAGTGTTGTTCCTCAGGCACTGTCTGTCTTGTTTTTTGAGACAGGGTCTCTCCTGGGCCACGTAAGCTAGGCTGGCTGGCCACTGAGCCTTAAGGACCTGCCTGTCTCTGCCTCCCCAGTGCTGGGATTCAAGCACATGCCACAATGTCAAACTTTTTTTGTTTGTTTGTTTGCATGTGTTCTGGGGACAGAACTTGGGTCCTATGCTCGTTCTGAAAGCCCTTTACCCACTGAGCCCTCTCCCCAGCCCCTGCTTTTTACAGTGCTGGGGATAGACCCCAGAGCCTTAGATATTCTAAGCATATGCTCTACCTAAGCTATGCCCTGGCCCCAGGGTGGCTCTTCTTGCTGGACTAAGATTGACTGCATGTTTGCATGAGCCTCTGCCTCAGGCTGTTAGCACTGATGAGCAGGGCAGAGACATGTCGCCTCAGCCTCTTTGTAATAACTTCAGGAAAACCTGCTGGCAGTGACTATATAAGCAGTCTCTATGGAAGACACTGCCATCCCCACCACAGGATGTGAAGAGACTCCAGCCAATTCCTGAGTGGAGAAAGGAACAGGAGGAAAGCAATGGGAATCCCCAAATCAGTTTGTCATTTAATCACTTTCCATCAGAATCCCAGAATTTACCCTTTTCTTTTTTCTTTTTCATATATATATATGCTCTTGGTAAAGTAACTGTCAGACTTATAAAATGGCTGTGAAATTTTGGAAACCAAGAACATGAGCAGAGTTGCTAAGTATGAGCCATGTGTGATGATGTGTGATGATGGGACACAAAGGAGCCAGGCAGCTAGCAGAGATACCTGAGAACCAAGGAAAGCCTGGTCTATGTGTAAGAATTCAGTAGCAACTGACACTCATAACAAGGTGAGACCCTGTTGATGGGTTGGTGGGGTTGAGAGTCAAGAGCCAGGGATTGGGAGTCCGGGGTTGGGGTAGGAAACTGCATTTCAAACCATCTCAAAGAAGCTCACTTTCTACTGAGTGCCAAGCTCCACTATAGATCTTAATGGCACAGAGTGCTTACCAAGCAAGGAGCAGGCCCTGGGTTCCATCCCTGGCATGGCATGGCCCAGACTCGATGGCACGTGCCTATGATGCCAGCACTTAGGAGGTGGAGCCCGGGGGATCTGGAGGTCAAGGTCATCCATCCTCAGGTACACAGTGAGTTCCAGGTCAGGCTGGGCTAAATGATGCTGTCTCAAATAAATAAATAGGTGTTTCCCTATCACAGAATTGAGTACATGCAAGTATCATGGATGGAACTCTCCCGCCAAAGTCTTGTTTGGAGCAGGTGGAGCTGGCTTCTGCCTCCTATGAACTGAATCTTGACAGACTCATTTTTCTTCCCAGTTCATAACTGGCACTCACACACAGATCTCTGTGAAAAGTATCTACAAACCACCTGCTCCCTGAGGCTCACAGAGGTAAACAGTACACATGTGATCAAGAGGAGACCCAGAGAGAACACTCGCTCTCCAAGCCCCATCCCATAGCTGACCAGACGCCTCAGGTAACTCAGAAAGGAGCTTCCTGCATGCTCAGTAAATATGAAGAGGGGGTATGCCAGGCCAGACACATTCTACAGGTTCATTCTATGGGCAGATGGGTTGGGAGCCTTGCTGGGAGATGAACCTGAGTTTCTTCATTGTGGCTCACAGATTTCCATACTGTATCACAGTGCTCAAAGGCTAGAGTTGTTGAGTAATATCCTCAAGGTCACACAGCCAGAAAAAGGCAGGGTCATCACTCAGACTCACAAGTTCACTTACAAACACCCACAGCTGGGTCTGTTTCCATAGCAACCTCTGAGCACTTCAGGGTGACTTGCATGTGATGCTCAGAGGGTAGTTGTAAGACAGGGATGCTGCCAAGCCCAATGACCGGAGTTCAATTCCTGGGAGTCACATGATGGAGGGAGAAAACTGACTCACTGCTTGTTTTCTGACCTCCACATCTATGCTGTTGTAGGTGTGCACTTACACTCATGTACACACACACACACACACACACACACACACACACACGAGCGTGAGCCAGATCTCTACAGCCAGGTGACTGACTGTGAGGAGCAGGGAGACCTGTGATGACTGACTGGAAGCGATGCTCACTACTTCCTCCTTCCAGAGAATTCTCCCCAGGACAAGATGTGGACCAAAGGGAAGCGAGTTGGGATGTGGGGCTTCTGTGCATTGTTGGAAGCGCAGAAGAACTGCCTCTGGCATGGTGGGACTTCTGGGGACACTAAATTCACTGTGCATGGACAGGCACAGGCAGTGATAAAATCTTATCAACTCCAAGAGAGGGGTGGGGGGCTGGGATGTGGAGTCCTTCAGGGGGGCTGTGCTGAGCCACACGGGGTTGATGTATAAGTGTCTTTCCCTTAGTAAAGTGACAAATACCAGGTGAACGCAGTTTACGGTGGAAGGTTAGATTGTGGCTCACAGTCTGAGGGTACACAGTCCATCAAGGCCATGAAGTCATGGCAGCAGGAGCATGAGGCAGCTGGTCACATGGCATCCTCAGTCGGGAAGCAGAGAGAGATGGATGCTGGGGCTCAGCTCGCTTTCTCCTTTTTGTTCAGTCCAGGACCCCAGCCCATGGAATAGTGCTGCCCACACTTGGGGTGGGTCTTTGCACCTCAATCAACCTAATCTAGACACTCCCTCACAGGCATGGCCGGAGGTGTCTCTCCTAGGCAATTCTAGATCCTGTCAAGATGACAATCGAGATTAACAATCACTGGTGGCCTGGTTTGAGCTGAGGAGAGTGGGAAGTCCATCTTTGGGTTAACTGGACCTGTCTACTGTCTAAACTTGGGTAGATGACCTATCTGCTCTAGCCTGCCTGTTTTCCTCATCAGAAAAGGGGATGACGGCACAGCTGCTCCTCTGACCACACGGTCTGGCCTAGGCAAGTTTTCTCCCAGTCCCACAAGGCCCTTGTGATGGCTGAACTTGGTTGGATATGGCATCAATCAGACCCGCCTCTGGGAAGTCTGTGAAAGCATTTCCAGGAAGTATCAGTAGAGCATGGTAGACTGTCTTCCAGGGTGGGTAGCACCTTCTGGCTGTAGCCTGAGGGAACAGCTGCTGATTCCCCCTGCCTGCCTTTGCCCCTTGCTGGCAAATGCATCTCTTTCTCTGCCGTTGCTGCTGCCACAGCAGAACCCAGCTTCTTTAGCCTCCCAATATGCATGAAGAAACAGCAGCTTTCCGGGGATCCCCCAGGCATTTGCCCATGGTTGGGGACTGCTAGGGCATTCAGCCTTATAGACTGAGCAGCTGACAGATTCTCAGCATGCAGATGGCCACTGTTGGACTACCCAGCCCATGTCGTGTAAGCCAATCTAAAACAACAACAACAACAAAAAAAAACTCTTAAAAGGTACACATTCTGTCTCTGGGTTCTGCTCCTCTAGGGAAACTCTGACTCCAACAGTCCCCTCTGGAGAACCTCATAGCTGAAGAAAGGATGGGTGTGCCTGTGTGTGCCGAGAGCAAGGATAGCACAGGAGACCTTGCTGGCAGTGTGTCCATCAAGTCCATCAAATGACAAGGTCAGCGTCCCAAAGCAGGGAGGGAGGGCATTGTGGGGGTCAATCTTGACTGCTGTGGTGGTTCAATATGCTCACATTTGTTTGAACACCTCATCCCCAGTTGGGCATGCTGTCTGGGAGGCCATGGAACCATTTGAAGACAGGGCCTACCTAGAAGAAGTGGGTTGCTAGAGGATAGACTGTATGGGCTATAGCTTGACCCTGGTTCAAAGCAAGTGCCCAGTTTCCTGGATACAAATGCAATGGGCCATCTTGTGTTCCTGCTGACAGAGCCATGAGCCACCATGCCTTCCCCATCATGATGGACTGAATTGTAGCCACAATAAATCAACTCTAATCGTCAATTAGACTAAGTGAGGGGGGAAGACCTCCCTAAATATGGATAACCCTACCCCGTGTGCTGGGTCCTGGACTGAATAAGAAGAAAGTAACTGAGCACCAGCATGCATCTCTCTCTGCTTCCTGACTGTGGATGCTGTGAGCAGCTGCCCCGCTCCTGCCTCGGCCGAGGCTCCCCCACCATGGCGAACTGCACCCTCAAACACATAAACCCTTCTTTTCTTCAGTTGTTCATGTCACAGCCACGAGAAAATAAACACACACTCGGGGGAGTTCTTTGGGTCAGGTGTTTGTCTTAGTAACAAGGAAAGTGACTGATACTGTGTCAGCTTGATGAGACTGAGAATTTCCTAGAAGAGTAAAGCTGCTTCTGGGTTTGTGTGCAGGGGCGGACAGATGCAGCCAGCACCATGCTGCAGGCTGGGCTACCTGACAGAACACCCAGGAGGGAGGAGGAAGCCTGTGATGTAGGCTAGCTCGTTCACCTCCTCCAAGAAGGCGCTCTATCCCTCCCCACTTAATGGATGGAAACTGGGACCCAAAAGAAATCATTCTTCTTGAGTCTCCAGTGCTCTCATTATGAAGCGAGTCTCTGTGTTTCCTGCAGCTATCTGATTGATTGTTGCGGCCCTTGTCCAGCTGTGAGCTGAGGGACAGGCTCAGAGCTTACCAGCCTCACCGACGAAGACCTCCACAGGTACACTGGCCGGGCTCTCACCGATGATGTTATAGGCGGTCATGATGACTTCATAGCGTCGGTACTTCTTCAGATCTGCGAGGTCAAACACATAGGGTCAGCCTACAGCTGGACCAGCTTTTGTTCTTAGATCTCCTCTGTGGACCACACCCAGGCCATGGAGACCCCAGGGAGAAGAGCAGCCTGCTCTCTGAAGGACTAGGAAATGCCTCCATCCCGCCTCCTGATGCTGCTGTCAATCAAGATGCCTCCTCCCCCACCTGTGCCCAGGTAAAGGGCAGCAAAGCATCCAGGACCTGACCTGCCTTTATCCAGCAGCTTTCCTGGAGACAGGCACCAGATAAAGACCCAGGTACTTACAAACTTCTCATCCTCCTGCCTCTACTTTCCAAGTGCTGGGTTTGCAGGTGTGCACCACCATGCCTGGTTTATGCCATGCTGGGAATAGAACCCAGGGCTTCTCCATGCTAGGCAAGCATTTCTCTACCAACTGAGCTACAAACTCAGTCCCCGTGGTCAGTATTCAATGTAAAGGGTTTTAGTTCAGAGAGAAAGAAAGTAGACCACTGCCTTTAAGATGGGGGCTGACTCAGCAGTTAAGAGCACTTGCTGTTCTTCCAGAGGACCTGGGTTTGATTCCTAGCACCCACATGAGGTTCACAACCACCTGTGACTCCTGTTCCCGGAGATCCAATGACCTCTTCTGGCCTCCCTGAGCACCAGGCACATACACGGTACACTGACATACATGTGGGCAAAATACCCATAAATTGAAAATATATGGTTAGGATGGCAAACATTTTGGCCTGTATATTTCACTATAATTATAAGAGAGACAGAGAGAGACAGAGAGACAGAGAGAGAGAGAGAGAGAGAGAGACAGAGACAGAGAGAGAGACAGAGAGAGAGACAGAGAGAGAGACAGAGAGAGAGACAGAGAGAGAGACAGAGAGAGACAGAGACACAGAGACACAGAGAGAGACACAGAGAGAGACAGAGAGACAGAGAGCAAAGAGAGCCACAGGAGAGATCTTGCCTTGTCTGACTTTCCCTTCTGTTCCAGCCAGTTGGGGTGCTAGATGGCACTATTGGGAACCCCACCAGCCTGGGTCTCTAGAAGTTTCCCTGATATGTGGGCATGCTGAGACACAACCATCAAGAAGGGAACTCCAGTAGTTAGAGCCACGAATCCAGGCTGGTTTGGCTTGGACTCTGAGAGAGGGATGGGCATCTCCACTGCACACAGTCACAGGGGCCCGAGGTGCTGTGCACTTACGTGTTAATTCATATGTCGTTAACGTGGAGCTGCTGTTCACGGTCTTGAAGCTGCTTTGGGCTACAAGGGGTAAGGAAGGCAGTTAGTACAGAGGGACACTGTGCCTGCAAACCATGTGTGAGGTGGACATGAGGTACAATGCAAGCTGGATGGGATGCTGTGCTGACATCCACAGTTCCCCAGGTACTGTAGACTGTAGCTTCTCATTAGCTCCTGGGAGTTACCACATGTCTACCTAACTCATCAAGCAAGACACACCAGCCTGAGACCAGTGGTGGTGGGCTGGCCCTCTGAAGGAAGGAAGCGAATATGAGGGCGTTGGTAGCAGTGTAGAGGACAATAGTAAAGACACAGACATGCTTTTTTTCTCTCTCTCTCTCCTCCAGGCCTTTCTGGTAGGCAGGTTTATCCAGATGACTGATGTTTACAAGCTGTGGGACTCTGGTCTGAAGGGGATGAGAAAGTCACCCATCAAGTATTCATCAAGCTACAAGCCACCAGGGACAAGTTTGTGTACAGTTGGCATGTGTGACCCTGGTGGAAAGGGTGGGGTGGAGCAGGGGCCCTCTTGCACACTGGGCGACTGGCCATTAGGTCGCTTCCTGGCCTGATGGGGGTGAACTATGTAGGAAGTGCTGCCCAGCTGTTCTCCTGCCCTGTCTGTCCCTCATCATAGAGATCAGCCTGCCTTTGCCTCCTGAGTGCTGGGATTAGGCATGTGCCACCATGCCTAACAAAAGGGGAATTTTCTATGACACTATTTAGGGACAATTTCCTTCCGGGGGGTGGGGTGGGGGGGTGGGGGGGTGGGTGGGTGGGTGGGTAGAGAGGTAGAGTCTTCTGCAGTTAAGCTGCCTCTGGCTGTGGTGGGATGCAGGCTCAGCAAGATCAGGAGGTACCTACGCATAGCCATTTTCTACACAATGTGTCTCCGCAGAGCTGGCCCCTTCTCTCTCAATTCAGCCTCCAGGTCCACTGCCTCCATCTGTGCCCCACTGGCTTCACATTACACTGTCTGCTCCCTCACTGTGTCTGGTATTTCCCAGCATGCCTTCCAAGGAGCAGACAGATGTGTAAAGCTCACCTGTAAGTTCAGCACGTAAGGCAGAGGGACTCTTGAGTGTCTTGGCCTCGGGGCCCATGCCTGTCTCAGACTCCAGCTCGCGGTAGTAGATCCTGTAGCCTTGCAGAAGGCCATTCAGGCTCTCATCCCGGGGAGGCTGCAAAGACATTGCACACTTAGCCATTTGGGGATATTATCGGAGTCAATATGTAAAGAAGGCTTAGTAACCTCCACTCTGGTGTGATTAGCCCACCATGAAGAGTCACTATTTCAAGGCCGTGGTTCTTTTTTTTTTTTTTTTAAAGATTTATTTATTTATTTATTATGTATACAGTGTTCTGCTACATGCATGCTTGCAGGCCAGAAGAGGGCACAGGATCTCATTATGGATGGTTGTGAGCCACCATATGGTTGCTGGGAATTGAACTCAGGACCTCTGGAAGAACAGCCAGTGCTCTTAACCACTGAGTCATCTCTTCAGCCCCATGGTTCTTTTTACAAATCGCTTTTACATATATTTGATTTTATTTTGATGATTAGTTTGTGTGTATGTACACACACACACACACAAGCACTCATGTGTGCAGGCATGGATGCACACACATGAGCCATGGTATGGACGTGGAGGTCAGAGGATAATTTCTAGGAGTTGATTTTCTTCTTCTACCATGTGGGTTCTAGGGTTTGAACTCAGTTCATCAGGCCATGTAGGCTCTAAGCCTACGGTCTTTGTTGTTAAAACAAAGGAGGAGAGCTGATGAGATATGTAAGTTGGCAAAGTGTCCACCTTGCAAGCCCTAGGACTTGAGTTCAATTTCCAAAACCCACATAAAAAGCTGGGCAGGGTAGTGCATGCTTGTGATCCTGCACTGGGGAGAAGGAGACAGAGCATTCTAGGGGGCTAGCCTAGTCTACTTGTGACTTCCAGGCCAGTGAGAGGCCTGCTCTCAAATATCAGTGTGAACATCTACTAAGGAACACCTGAAGTTGTCCTCTGGCCTCCATGTGTGTATGTGCATGGACACCTGCACTTGTGTGTGCAATACACACACACACACACACACACACACACACACACACACACACACACACGAAAGGTTTGAGACTATTAAAGGGAAAAGATGAACCATCCCAGACTCAGAGCCAGTTGTGGAGCCCTGCTCACACCTTGTATGTGGTATGATGGCTGCTATCTTGATTGCCAACTTGATTACATCTGGAATCAACTAAAACCCAAGTAGCCGCGCATGTCTGAGTGATTTTATTGATTGGATCATTTGAGGTGGGAAGACCCATCTTAAACCTGGGCCACAGCTTCTAGTGGCAGCCCACATAAAAAGACATGAAGAAGGAAGCTTTTTGCCTGCTCGTTTTCACTCTTGTTGGCAAGTTCATCTATCCTGATGCTGAGGCGTTCCTTCGCTGCTGTTAGAACTGACTTCTTCAGGATTCCAGGACAGACTGAAGACCAGTAGCTCTCTAGGAATCCTCCAGGATTCCAGCAATAGATCAAGGCTGCTGTGACATCCAGTCTTGTGGACTGAACAATTGGATTCTTGGTCTTTCTGTTGGAAGGCAGCCATTGTAGACTACCTCCTGTATGCTGCTCCAATAATATTCATTTATGTTCTGTTCCTTTAGAGAACCCTAACTGATACATGCAGACATGATTTCTTATCCTGGGTCTAGCTTAACTCCTTGAGGTGAGGTGGGGGAGTGAGATACAGGCACAGATGGGGAGGGAGTGTCTCTCTGTGGGGTGAACCTAGAAGCAGTAAGGGGACTACTAGAGAAGCAGCCTCAAACTATACCATCATTTTTTTTTCCCCAGATAGCTAGAACTAGTTGAGGGGAAATCACACTGGATTTGGGAGGGCCTTAGTCCAACAGCTGGTATCCTTGTAAGAGGAGGGACATTTGGACTTGTGGGCACATAGAAAGAATGCCCAGTGAATATGGGGAGGCAGATTAGAGTGCTATGTTTATAAGCTAAGGGACACAAATGGCTACCATCAGCCAGATGACACTGGGGGACTCCAGTACAGTGCCTTTCCCGGAGGGAGAAGAGTCCTGTTGTCATCTGGCCTTGGGACTTCCGGCCTCCAGAACCAATCTCTGTGGCTGTGACATGGACCCAGAGACCAGAGGGTCTACAGTTGCTTTCCTAGGCCCCAGAAACCCAGCACTCACTGCTTGGTCACTCTGCTCTCTAAACCACAAGATGAAGGGCTTGGGAAGCCAGGAACACATGTGGTAACATGGCTGACAAGCATACACACACACACACACACACACACACACACACACACACACACACACACACGTTGGGAGTAGTGAAGACGCTGTTGGAAACGGCATCTGTGAACCTAGCTGCCCGATAGAGGTGGAGGTGTGTAACCAGATGCCTGGGAGGTTTGCTGGGTCACAATGGCCTGTTGTCCAAGTGCTTAGGGGACTCCCAGCACCAGTCAGAGCTGGGGTTCCATCCCAGGACTTCTGCCACACACCCTGGACCACAGCGGGGAATGCTTCCACCTTGGGTTTCGTCTCAGATAGTGGGAAACTGGGTCTCAGCAGAGCGGGCAGTTACTTCAGAAGAGACCTTTCCTGTCCCCTCTGACCCTTCCTGAGCATTGCTGGCAGCATGTGTTGGGGGTGGGGTGGGGCTCTACAGCTGGCTTCAGTAGGCCCCAGACAACCGGGACAGAGCAACAAGCCACAGCTCAGGGTTTGGGGTGTCGGGTGAGTTCATTTTGGTTTTTGCTTATCTCCTCTTAGGGTGGTCAGGGTTAGGCAACAAAAATATAGGCTACGCAGCCAGATTTGATTTTCAAAGTGCTATTGTCAAAATTGATGGAATCTCTCTCCAAACTTACTGTTACCACATTGTGTGTGTGTGTGTGTGTGTGTGTGTGTGTGTGTGTGTGTGTGTGTGTACATGCACATGAGCTGTTGGTGTGTGTGCAGGTGCTGTAAGTGTGCATATATACATGTGGAGGACAGAAGAACGCTGGCTGTTCTTCAGATGTCTACCCTGTTGTTTTTGAGGCAGGGTCTCTTATTGGCCTGGAGCTTGCCAAGTAGGCTGTGCTGGCCAGTGAGTCCCAAGGATCTGCCTGTTTTTGCCTCTCCAGTGCTGGGGTTTTAAGCTCATGGTACCAGGCTGGCTTCTCTCATGGGTTCCGGGGATGGAGCTTAGGTCCTCATGCCTGTAAGGCAAGCATTTTACTGAGCCATTGCCCCACCTTTTTTAACACCTTGTGAGAGGCATTTCTCTGCATGTCTCCTAACATCTATAGGAAAGGACGAAGGATCCATTCTCGGGTTGAAGCAAGAATAATGCTGTCCTTGGCTGCTCAGCCACCTAAGCTCAGCGCCTCTGTTTCCTGTGACTGCAGGTTGCTTCATAGATGTGGTCCCCTAAGGGAAGGATCTGGCTCTGTGACATCAGGCCCCTCCTGAGGTGAGATGGCATGGCAGAAGACAGGGAATGCAGTGGCTTCTTATATACCTGGGCCTGTCTGCCTTCTGCATGCTCGTGTGGGCCCAGGGCAGAGCCATGGAGAGATGGAGGGTCTCCGACTGTGAGGATTAGTAACCACCTGCATCTCCTTGTGGTTATGAGATCTTCTGTTCAAGGAATGGAAGAGCCATGGAGGTGGGTGAGAAAGAACTGTGGGGTTCCTGAGGAAACTTTAGCACCTAGAGCAAGGGGAACTGACAGAAATGGCTTATATGCTGTCCCTGAAGAAGAGTCCTCCATGACACATCCCATGGGAGAGATGGTGCTCCTCTGTCTAGAGTGGGGAGATTGATTGAGAAGTGCACTCCCAGGGTCCCGGGCTGGAACTTGTCTAGGTTTTGTGATGTTTTCCACATGACAGATTTCCAAAATGATCCACAGCCTAAGTCAGGGAACTTGCCAGGAAAGTGCCTCCTCTAAGTCCACTAAACAGCCACTCATGGTTCCTTGAACCATGGGCACCAGTCCTGTGGCAATGCGTGTATAAGAAGCCCTTTGCGAAACAACGGACAGCAAGTATTTCCAAGACCCTGGGGCAGCTTTGCCCCTCCCTTCCTAGGCCCCTGACAAAGAACCAGGGAGATGTGTAACCCCGTTCTGTGGCTCTGACTGCTACACCAGGAGCCTGCTCTTGCCGCTCAGATAACACCATGTGGCCATGCAGAAGGTTCTGGCACAGTCTTCACTCACACTGTGGGGAGGTGGTGGTGGCAAGGCCCAGGCTAGGCAGATGAGATGGTGCGGTTCCCGTTGCTGGGATCTGGGCTGACTCAAATCAGCAAGAAGGGAGGGTGAGTGGGCACATCAAAAGCTTGCTGCTGGGCTCTGCAAGTGCCAGCCCGCCCGAAAGCTCCCCTCAAGGGTCACCTTCAAAGCCTTTCTGTCAGTCTGAGATCACACCAGAGGGGATGTTGCTACAGCCTGGCCAACTCTGCAGAAGATGCACAGGCTGGGGACAGTTACAGCAGAGGAAGTGGGGAGGACTGGATTCTGTTCACTCAAATATCAACCAAACAGGACGCTGGGAAAACGGAAATGCCTTTGCTGGGAACGCAGTGTGGTTGTGCAGACACACAACCCCAGCCCTTGAGTGTGCAATCTGGGGATTGGGGGAGGAAGTGTGAAAGGTGGAGACGTTTCTAGTCAAGTCAGAGGATGGAAAGGGCAGAGGCCATGCCCCTCTACCCAGGGGACAACGATGACCAGCATTAAGCTGGGGCCATATTTGCCAGGTGGCATCCGAAGCCCAGAGTATCTGAGTCAAGTTGTGTGCCCTCCCAGCAGGTATCCGCTGTGGTCTGGATCAGTGGCCCCCAGGAAGGGCTGTGTGCTGGAGGCCTCCACCCCCTCGAGAGGACGTTACACTTCGGGTCACAGTTCATCCCTGGGGGACTTGCTGCCTCACTCTCTGACTGGTGCTTAGCATTCTTACACAGCCCAAGACCACCTGCCCAGGAAATGAAGCTGCCCAGGCAGGCTGGACCCTCTTACATCATCTAACAATCAAGACAGTCCTCACAGACATACCCACAGACCGACCTGATAAAGACAACCACTCAGATAAGACTCTTTCCCTGTGACTCCGGGCTGTGAATGCTAATGAGGACAGTCCCCAAGCTGAAACCTTTAGGAGG